CATGAGAACCACTCCCAACAAAGCTGGTATAAAAGGAACACACCTCCATGCGATAAAGGCCATATATGACAAACAACAAACACTGTACTCAATATTAAAAGGCTGAGAGGTTCTCTTCTAAGATCAGGAAGGCAAGGATACTTTTTTATTTAATATGGTATTGTAAGTTCTAGCACAGAAATCGGACAAAAAGAATACATCAATGGCATCCAAATCGTTAAGGAGGAAGTCAAACGGTCACTATTTGCATATGATGGGACACTATACAATACAGACTACGTATAAAAAGCCCTATACAGTATACTCTGTATAAAAAAACCCAAAAAGCTCCTAGAATAAATAAATTCGGTAAACACGCAAGATACAAAATCAATATACAGAAATCTATTGTGTTTTGACACAATAATGACAAAATATCAGAAAGAAAATTAAGAAAACAATCCCATTTACAATCACATCAGAAAAAAATTGCTTAGGCATAAATTTAACCAAGGAGTTGAAAGGCCTGTAATCTGAAAACCATAAAACACTGATTTAAAAAAAATTGAACACAACAGAAATAAATCGATCAGAAAAATTAATATTGTTAAAATGTCCATTACTACCCAAACCAGTCTACAGATTCTATGCAATGCCTATCAAAATACCAATAGTATTTTTCACAAAATTAGAACAAATGATGCCAACATTTGTATGAACTACAAAAGATCCCAAATAGCCAAAAGCAACCCTGAGCAAGAACAATGCTGGACGTATCACAATCCCAGATTTCAAATGATACTACAAAGCTATTGTAATTCAAACAGTACATTTTTCCAAACAACACATACCGATGGTAAATACTTAGCATCACTAGTTCACAAGAAACGTAAACCAAAACATCAGGGGATATAACCTCACATCAGTCAAAATAGCTAATATCAAAAAGTCAAGAAGCAACTGTTGGTGAGGATATAGAGACAAGGAAACCCACGTGCACTATTTGTGGAAACGTAAATTGGTGCAACCACTGTGTAAAACACTATGAAAGTTCCTCAAGGAATTAAAAACAGAAAATACGGTATGGTCCAGGGGCGCCTGGGTGGCTCAGTCAGTTAAGGGTCTGATTCTTGATTTCGGCTCAGGTCATGATCTCACGGTTTGTGAGATCGAGCCCCACGTCGGGCTCTGCATTGAAGCATGGGGCCTGCTTGGGATTCTCTCTCCTCTCTCCCTGCCTCTCCCCCTACTCATGCTCTCTTCCTCAAAATAAATAAATAAAGATTAAAACAAAAGTAAAGACCGCATAATCCAGTAATTCCATTACTGGGTATACACTCAAAGAATGCAAACCACTCATTTAAGAAGATATATGCATCCCTATCTTTATTCCAGGATTATTTATGGAGGCAAGACATTGAAGCAACCTGTGTCCATTGATAGATGAATAAAGATGTGAAATGTATTCAATGGAACATTACTCAGCCATAAAAAAAGAATGAAATCGGGGGGCCTGGGTGGCTCAGTGGGTTAAACATCTGACTCTTGATTTTGGATCAGGTAATGATCTCATGGTTCAGAAGATCAAGCCCTGAGTCAGGGTACGCATGACAGCGCAGTTTGCTTGGGATTCTCTCTCTCCCCCTCTCTCTGGTCTCCCCGGCTCATGCTCCCCCCTACATTTTCTCTCTCAAAATAAATAAAAATTAAAAAGAATGAAATTTTGCCATTCACAAAAATATGGGTGGACCTTAAGGGTATTATGTTCCATGAGATAAGTCAGACAGAGAAAGACAAATACCATATGATTTCACCAATATGTGGATTCTAAGAAACAAAACAAATTCATAAACAAACCCCCCCCCAAAAACACCAGAAGCAGACTTATAAACACAGAGAACAAACTGGTGGTTGCCAGAAGAAAGGGGGTAAGGGATAGACTAGGCAAAATAGGTGAAGGGAATTAGGAAGAAGCTCCTGGGGCGCCTGGGTGGCTCAACTGGTTAAGCTTCCAACTTCGACTCAGGTCAAGATCTGGTGGTTCATGAGTTTGAGCCCCACGATGAGCACTCTGCTGACAGCTGCGAGCCTGGAACTTGCTTCAGGTTCTGTCTCTCTCTCTCTGCCCCTCCCTGGCTGACACACCATCTCTCTTTCTCTCTCTCAAAAATAAACATTTAACAATTTTTTTAAAAAAGAGGAACAAACTTGCCATTTTAAAATAAATGTCACAGAGATGAAAAGTAGAGCATAGAAAATATAATCAATAATATTGTAGTATGTGTGGCGTCAGATGGTAATTATACTTACGTGATGAGCATTACATAATGCATTAGGTAGAGAAGTCTCCAATCACCAAGCTGTATACCTGAGACTGGTAACATTGTATGTCGACTACTTCAATAAGCGAAATGTAAAAAAAAATTAATTAAAAAAGAAATTGAAGAGGAAACAAATAGCAAGACATACTATGATCAGAGATCGGAAATATTAATATAGTTAAAATGTCAATAATGTTTAACAATCTATATTGTTAAAATGTCTATAACACAAAACAACACACAGGTTTAATGCCATCGCAATGAAAATACCATAGGGTGTTTTGTTAAGTTTTATTTTAATTCCAGTATAGTCAACATGCAGTGTTATGTTAGTTTCAGGTGGACCATATAATGATTCTGCAATTACATACGCCACCCAGTGCTCAACAAAACAAGTGCAGTCTTGGGGCGCCTGGGTGGCTTAGTCGGTTAAGCGTCCGACTTTCGCTTAGGTCATGATCTCGCGGTTTGTGGGTTCGAGCCCCGCATCGGGCTCTGTGCTGACTGCCAGCCTGGAGCCTGTTTCAGTCTGTGACTCCCTCTCTCTCTGACCCTCCCCTGCTTACGCTGTCCCTCTCTCTCTCCTAGAAATAAATAAAACATTAAAAAAAAAAAGTGCAGTCTTTTATCTCCATCACCTATTTCACCCATCCCTCCACCCACCTCGCCTCTGGTGACCAACAGTTTGCTCTTTACACTCAATCGTCCATTTCTTGTTTTTTTTTCCCCCTCTCTCTTTTTTTCATTTGCTCATTTGTTTTGTTTCTTAAATTCTGCATATGAGTATATATATAGCATTATATATATATGTCGTTGTAAATCGATTCAGAATTAGAACAAATGAACCCAAAATTTCCTTGGAACCACAAAAGAATCAGACTAGCCAAAGCAACTTTAAGAACAAATCTGGAGGTATCACAACCCCAGATTTCAAACTACGCTACAAAGCAATGGTAATTAAAGCAAAGCAGTACTGGCAAAAACATAGGCACATCGGTCACAGGGCATAACGGCCCAGAAGTAAATCCAAGCTTAGATGGTCAATTAATCTGTGACAAAGGAGACAAGAATATACAATGGGGGGAAAAACAGTCTCTTCAATAAATGGCTGGGAAAATGAAAAGCTACATGCAAAAGAATGAAACTGGAGCACTTCCTTGCACAATACACAAAAATAAACTAAAAATAAATTAAAGCCCTAGATCTAAGATCTGAAACCATAAAACTCCTAAAAAAAAAAAGTAGTAAATTTACAAACGTTAGCCATAGCAGTATCTTTATGGATATGTCACCTCAGGCACCGGAAATAAAAACAAAAATAAATAAGTGGGACTACATCAAACTGAAAAGCTTTTGTACAGCAATGGAAATCATCAACAACAAAAAAGGCAACCTCCAGAATAGAGAAAATATTTGCAAATTATATATCTCATAAGGGGTTAATATTCAAAATTTATGATCAACGCATACAACCGAACACCAAAGCAAAAATCCAATCAAAAAAGGGGAAGAAACCCTAAATGAACATTTTTCTCAAAAAAAAAAAAACATGACCAAAGGGCACATTAAAAGATGCTCGACATCATTAAATATCAGGAAAATGCAATTAAAACGTCGATATCGCCTGCCACCAGCCAGAATGGCCAGTGTCGCAAACAGAAAAAACAAGCAATACATGGGCATGATTAGGGAAGGGAAGCCTTGTGCAATGTTGGTAGGAATGTAAATTGATGCATCCACTATGGAAAACAGTGTGGAGGTTCCTCAAAACACTAAAAATGCAATACAGTAATTCTACTTCTGGGCATTTACCCAAAAGAAAACAAAAACACTAATAGGAAAAAACATATTCACTATTATGTTTATTGCGTCACTATTTACAATAACGAAGACAAGGAATCAATTTAAGTGTCCCTCTATGGATGCATGGTGAAAGAAAATGTGGTATGTATACACAATGGAATATTTACTGAGCCATACTTAAGAATGAAACCTTACCATTAGAGTCAACATGGATGCATGGAGAGGGTATTATGCTAAGCAAATTCACACAGAGAAACACAAATACCATATGATTTCTTTTATAAGTCAAATCTAAGGGAAAAAAATCCACAAACAAAACAGAAAGAGAACCAAAAATATAGAGAACTAACGAAATTCCTAGAAGGGAAGAAATGGGGGGATGGGCAAAATAGGTGAAGGGGAATAAGGGGTGCAAACTTCTAGGTAAAAATATGAATACGTCTCCAAGATGAAAAGTATAGATTAGGAAATATACTTAATAATATAAAAATAATTTCGTACAGTGACAGATGGTTAACTCCGCTCCCATGGCTGGCATTTGCAAATGCGTATTGCTGTCGACTCACTACGCTCGGTATTTGAAATTAATATTTTAGATCAAGTGTACCTGAATTAAAATTTCTTGAAAAAAAAAAACAAAAATAGACACTCAAAAATTAAAATAATAAATTAAACAAAATAATGATAAAATATAATCTAATACTCACTGCGAAATAAAATTTAATATGCACAAAATATAAGAAATATATAACAAAGGCAAAGAAGGTAACATAGAAAACCGTAGACTATTAAATGAATAAATAAAATTTAAAAAAAATACTCAGGATCCCTCCAGCGTCTGGCACTGTTAAAACGTACAAATAAAAGAAATAGCACGGTACCAATCAAGATACATACCAGAACCGGTTTCAAAACCTGCTATTCACAACACGCCAGGATCCTGGAGTCAGAACCGAAGATGGTACCCAGACCGCTCCCGAAAACACACCTGGACGGGGAGACGTCGGATTGGCCTCCGGAGCCCGGGTGGAGGCCCACAGAGAGAGGCTGAGGCCGTGCGGGTCTCCGCTGGGAGGAAGAAGGTGAGTCACAGCGGTGGCTACGCAGATCGCCCGCGGCTTGGCGGCGCTGGGGGAGGGGCCTGGGGGCGGGGGACCGGCCTCCGAGGGAGGCTACGCTTCCGCCAACCGGAGGCGAGAGCCTGGAACCATCGCTACAGCGGGAGGCTGGGGGGGGGGGGGCACCCGATGTCCAATGCAGGAGATGGGCGACGCCTCGGCTCACAGACCCCGCTGCGGCGCCACAGCCCAAACCTGGGGGACCGGGGGAGACATTTTGGGTGCACCGGCAAAACTCTTCCCCGGGGCTGGGGTCGTCCCGGCAACCAGAAGGGCTGCGTGTGCCAGTGTAAATAACCCGATCGGGCAACAGGTACACGGTCTCGGTTCCGCAGGAGCTCCTCCGCCACCCCAAGGCCGAGGGGACAAAACCCCAGGTCCTTTCTCGGCCGCGGACTGGAAACGACTGCACGCGACGACCGCGGGCCACAGGACCGATTTCGCGGGGACGTGCCGGGCAGCTGCGAGCTGGGGGCCGAGCGATGGCGGGCCCCGCGCCCCTGGGGAGTGGGCGACAGGCGAGAGCGCCAGCCCAGCGCCGGCCTCCAAGGGGGGGTCTCGACTCGCGGTACGAGCGCAGGCGCCGGACTCTCCGGCTGCACGGGCGCGGCCGGGTGGCGTCCGCCCGCGGGGCAGGCACCGGACACCACGTGGAGAGCACCAGATGCGCGCCCGGCTGCCGCTCCTCCGGGAGCCCAGTGAGTAGCCCCTCGCGAGTCTCCCTCCCAGGGCTCGCTGGTGCCCCAGCTGCGCACGGAGGGGGTGGGGTGGGGTCAGCCCCGCCCGGAAGCCCACGGGCCCCTCCTTAGGGGCTGACGCCACCCGGTCCTGCACCTCCGGGCGGTCGGGTTTGGGCGCGGGCCGGGAGGATGCGGTGGCAGAGGAGAGGGTGGGTCTCTGTCAACCTGCCGCGGGCACGTGGGCAGCTTCGGGGATGTGCCTGGCCTGCGGATGGTGGCTCGGGGACAGTACTGCGGGAGGACAGGCGTCCTCGCCCTTCCGTATGAGTGGCGTTGCCCATGCAACTGACCCCACACCACACACAAAACAAATATAGAGAATTCACAAGTTTATTGAAAATGTAAAAAGTGTAAAATAGAAGGTCAGTGAATTTGACTTCTCTTTAATACATTCAGCACATACTTAGTCAACTATTCTTTATGGCGACAAATACAGAAACTTGAATCTGGGTCAAAAGCACCTTGGGGAAAAAAAACTGTCGCAGAACCCATTCTTTGGGAAAAGGGGTTACAGAAGAACCACTGGTGGCCTAGGATGGGCCATAGGAGGAATGGGTGGACGAGGGTAGCCACAGGGAGGGAAAGGTGGAGGATAGCCATGGGGAGGCAAAGGCAGAGGGTAGCCACAGGGAGGGAGATATTGAGGGTAGCCATAGTTAGGGATAGGTGGAGGGCAGCCACAGGGAGCCACAGGGCAGCCACAGGGAGCCACAGGGCAGCCACAGGGAGCCACAGGACAGCCACAGGGAGGGACGGGTGGACGGAACCAGCCAGGAGGAGGCAGGAACATAGGAGGAAAGGGCTGCATGGGCGGGCCAGGTGGCCTCGGCATCGCTGGCATCGCTGGCATCGCTGGCTCCTGAGGCATCTGCACACAACCAGGCTGCCGAACCAAGACTCCACGGTAGGCTCGACCCAAGTTAATGATGACAGGGGGACCCATGGGCATGGGGACCATGTTTCTGAGCCTCAGTGCCCTCTGCTGTCTCCTCAGCTTGGCTCTCTTATTCTTGAACCAAACCTTCAATCAGAGAGAAAAAGGGATCATTTTAGTATGTTGCGCACTGACTGTCATACATGGAAAAAAGCCCAGCAGGATAGTCTCTACGCCCTTACGGTTTTAAACTGCATCAGGGGAGCTACTTCCCTCTTGCTAACATACCTTAGGAGAGTTACCACCACGGGGCCTCCCTTCAGCTCACCCTCAGACAGCACCCACGCTGTGCCAGGCTCTGGGGTGGCTTCTCGCTTTCGCTCCTTCCTCCCACCTTGCGTATTCTTTCTCCCTGCCCTGACAAGCAGGTGTAGCTGAGGAATGGCACTCCATCCCTGCGGTTACTCTTACACCTGGCGGGCCTGTGTCCTGACAGCCGGCCCTCAGCTGTGTAGCTGCCACTAACTCCTAACCACTAGGCAAGTGGCCCCCTGCTCGTGGGGAAGCTCAGCATAAAGTCCTGCTGGGGCAACAACCCCCATTTTGAAAAGCCCATCTTCAATGTACAGCAAATACTCAACAGGAACGTGTTGGATTTTCACACCAAAGCGTTCCTTGAAGGATGACTAAAGCATCACTCATCTTCTGAAACCTCTTCGTAGTTGGAAGGATGGCATGGGGAGCGAGGCTTGGGCTTGGAGGGCCCGGGAGTCTGTGGCTGGTCATGCTGGTCCGCAAGGAAGCTGCAGCACTGGACGCCACCTGAGTGTCTTACACTTCGGGGGTGATGGAGGTTTAGGCTGACTAGGGCCGCATCTACTCAGGGTCTTAAAATCTTGGCCCCACCAACATTTTGGGGGGAAAGAGGCACACCACTGTTGTCAACTCTGCACCCTCCACCCTGCCCCACCCTCCACACTTTCCCGGGATCAGCACCTGGTCATCTCTCTCTGCTCTGGCTACAATTCCAGGACCCTTGACAGGAGCCACTGCTGCCCAGCAGGGCAGGGCCCCCTACACCCCTCTCCTTAACCAGGATAGCCCCATCCCTCCCCTTCTTTTTTTTTTTCCCCAATCACAGCTTAGGTGACATAGAATAGAATAGTAGTTTCAGGTGTACAACATAGTGATTCGTCATTTCTCTACCCTACAAAACGCTCACCACGATGAGTGTAAACACCTTCATCACCATACAAAGTCATTGCTGGATTTTGACTATATTCCTTCTGCTGTACTTTTCATCCCCGTGACTGATGTACTTTATGACTGGAACGTGGTACCTCCTAACCCACGTCGCTTATTTTGCCCATCCCTCTCCCCCCCATCCCCGCAACCTCCAGTTTCTTCTGCGTATTACAGTCTGCTTCTGTTGTTTGTTCGTTTGTTTCAAGATTCCACACATAAGTGAAACCATATGGTATTCCCAAGGCAAGAAGGTGAAACTGATCTTTTAGGAAGACAACTAATAACCATGTGGGAGAGGAGTCTCAAAGTGACTCCTCCCTCCTATCTGCCAACTATGAACAGTACTTATAAAATCTGTCCTTTGGACTCCACTGGCCTCTCCACATCGTAGTCCATGGAATTTTGTTGTATTTAATATTTGTAGACATTCCCATTTGCAAATCTTACTTGAGACTAAGGGCCTCTAGTCTCTCTGTTGCTTCATTTTCCCTCTCCCCATCTTTGTATTTGGTCTTTCTGCTGCTTGAATGTGAAGTCTAGCAAAACCAGTGTTGGGAGCTCATTTTGGGGAATCCAAGTTTACCAGAGGCCAAATCTACCTACATGCAAAGCAGCCTAACTGAGGTATACACTGATACTAGTTCCATATTTCTAATACTGGATTCACAAAACAACTCTTAACTATAGTCACAAAATAGTTGAGGGGACATCCATTAAAATGTTCTTTACACAAATACTTTATGATCTCAGCTATATGTGGAATCTAAAAGAATAACAACAACAACAAACTCAGGGGAAAAAGATCAGATTCGGGAGTACTAGAGGGGTGGATGGAGTGGAGGACGTGCCTGGAGTTGGTCAAAAGGTAAAAACTTCCAGTTTTAAGATAAATGCGTGCCAGGAAGGTAATGTAACATAACGGCTAGACTTAACACTGCCACGTGGTACCTATGACAGTGAGGAGATTCAATTTTTTAATGTTTATTTTATACTTGAGAGAGCGTGAGCAGGGAAGGTGGGGGGGCAGACAGAGAGGGAGACAGAGGATCCCAAGAGGGCTCCATGCTGACAGGGCAGGCTGGGAGCCCCTCTCCTGCTCTTGTGCCCTTCCTCTCACCCTCTCCCCAAATAATAAAGAAACTTAAAAAAAGGGAAGATAAAAAGCTCAGGTGTTAGACATTCCTCAAAAGAATGTTCACTAATGCATTAGGTGCTCTCACAAACTTGAAGGCGAGCGATCTCCCCAAGGCAGAATTCTCCCCTTATCCTTCCACCTGGGTAGATTGGCTTCCACCCTTGTTGCATCGATAGAATCTTGTTTGAAATTGTTGTTTTAGTTTATCTGGGCTGAGGCAGGCTTCAAAGGTTGTGACTACCCCCCCACGTTTATAATAGTGCACAATCTACTATTTAATACTGTTTTCAGACAGACAGATCAAAGAATTCTGGAAAATTAAAATGGAGGCCTGTCACTCTCCACACCTCCTTACCAAACACTTAAACATAATCGCTCCAAAACGGAATTAATTAGATTTAGAAGTGTTCAAATAAAATAAATTTTTAAATTAAAATATAATGTTGCCTTACTCTGAATCCCAAAGCAACAAGTCATATATATGAAAAACAAAAAACAAAAACCAAAACCCAACAGCAAGAAACTCAGGCACTTTAACGAAAAGCAATAGCAGTGAAAATAAAAATATTTTTGAAATTGTTAAATAAAATTTTAAAAATAAATCAAAATAATCTTTTAGAATTAAAAATTAAAATTACATTAGTCTGAATCCTAGAACAAAAGATCATATTCAAAAGGAAAACCATCACATGGGGCGCCTGGGTGGCTCAGCTGGTTAAGTGTCTGGCTCTACATTTCCGCTCAGGTCATTATCTCAGGGTTCGGGGGATGGAGTCCCCATGTCAGGGCCTGTGCTGACAGCTTACCACCTGCCTAGGATTCTCTCTCTGCCTCTCCGCGCTCACACACCCTCTCTCTCTCTCACAAAATAAATAAACCTAAGAAAAGAATATACTTTTAATATAATACATATTTGTTATATGTAATTTATATATTAAATATAGATTCTACATTAGATAAATATCATATAAGCATTATTCTATGAATTAAATGCATTTTATATATTATATAAATTATATTTATCTTTACTACATTACACATATATTTTTATATTTATAATACATATAAAATACATATATAATTATGTTAGCATCTAAGTATATATTACATATAAAAATAATACATATACTAGATATGTGATATATAATTATAGCTATGTAAATATATGTATTATAGGTCTAATTCAGTGACCTGTGAAAGTACGTATATAAAGCATAGTTTACACAAAGGTGTATAATATATATGTATACAAGGGACACTATACTATACTAATTTTTTCACTCCCTTAGGAAATCATGTTCCCTCTGGGAATGGGCAATTTCCAACATCTGGGCTTTATGTAGCCCACCTTCCCCTCCCCGAAACCCAAAAGTTCATCACTTATTTCCCAAACCTAGAAAAGGCAACAGAAACACAGAAACGTGAGAAAGTAAGTCTATGACAAAGGTGTCCCAAGCCCAGAAACAGGCATAAAATGGCTTGCGCCCAAATTGTCTTTTTCAGTTTTACTGACCTGCACTCTGGCTACAGGCACATCCATGAATCTCGCGAGTTCCTGGCTGAGGGGAGAAAATGGCAAGTACTCAGTGTACGGAGTTGGCGGTGAGTTAAAATACAGGATTTTTCATCCATCTTCTGAAAAATTGTTTTCAGAGAAATGTCAGTGACATTGTATGAACCAGTTTCTGCACTTGGAAAAGTCCACCATTTCAGGATTTACGGTCAGGTTCGGTTGACAAAGAATTTAAGGAAAGCCAAGTCTCGTGGGTAAAGGAGGCACACGGTCCCCCAAAACACATGACCTTCTAACTCAGTTTCTTTTAGTGTTATCAACTTCAAAATGAAAGAGAATCTGACTGAGGAACTATCTGTATGGACTTTCAGTCATTGCTCTTACCCATTTTATGGGTTAAATTAGAGCTCTAAAACATGCTGTCTCTCTCTTTCTGCCCCCCAACCCCTCCCTTCCCACCCCACCCCGTATCTCTCTTTATCTATCAGTAATGAACAAGTTGGAGTGCATTCCTACTAGAGGCTAAAGGATGACACAGACTGCTGTTTATTCCCTGGTCATGGTTTTTTATATTTTTCTATCATTAATTTCCCCCTGCCATCCACCATCCACTATCCACCCCCCAACACACACCCATGGACACCCCTCCTCCCTCCCTCCTCCCACTAGTCTGTGAGGGCTAGCTTGAGCCTTCCATTGGGGGCAGTTTTTCCGCCAGCACGATTTAATTTTAATTTTTTTTACAATTTTATTATTTTTTCTTTTTTTTTAAATGTCTATTTATATTTGAGACAGAGCAGAGGCAGGCAAGCGTGGAAGGGGCAGGCAGGGGGAGAGACAGAATCCAAAACGCTGTCAGGCAAAGCCAGAGGTGGGTCTGGAACCCAAGAACCCTGAGATCTTGACCTGATCCGAAGTGGGACGCTCAATCCACTGAGCCCCCAGGCTCATTTACAGTTTTAATAAGTGGGCTATTCACCCCAAATGGGGCTTGAACTCAGACTCCAAGATCAAAAGTCACATGCTCTACCCACTGAGCCAGCCGCATCCCTTTTCTTCTTTTTTAAATTTTAATTTATTTAGAATGACCTCCAGCAAAGTTTAAGGGAATGCAGAACATTTCACTAATCGAGATCATTTTCCAGTGCAGTATTTAAAAATATAAAAATCAGTGCAGAGCCACCTGGCAGATTCGGTTGGATGAGCCTGCGACTCTTGTTCTTGGGGTTTTTGAGCTCCAGCCCTACGTTGGGTGCACTTAAAATACACAAACTGGGCTTACTTAAAGTGAATTGGGATTACATAAGATACATAATTTTTTTTAATTTTTATTTTTTAATGTTTTTTTTTTAATTTCTAGGAGACAGAGAGAGAGCGTGAGCAGGGGAGGGTCAGAGAGAGAGGGAGTCACAGACTGAAACAGGCTCCAGGCTCTGAGGTGGCAGTCAGCACAGAGCCCGACGCGGGGCTCGAACCCACGAACCGCGAGATCATGACCTAAGCGAAAGTCGGACGCTTAACCAACTAAGCCACCCAGGCGCCCCTATAGTTTTAAAATAACACTAAACATCGGTGCCGAAATCATCCACGACTAGCAGATTTCTGACGATTTTAAACAAAGGTAGGATCCTACTAGCCCCCGGGATCCTACTGGACGCGGGTTGCTCCCGCTTCTCAGACCTCTCGTCCTCGCCCCCGCCCACCGCGCTTCCAGTAGGACTTTTTTCAGGTAGCGGCAGCGGACAGTTTCCAGGCTCCAGGCATTCGATCCACCTGCAAGTTCTCCTTGGTCCCCACCCGCAGAGCCCTCAGCTCCCACCTAAACCTAAAGTGTGGCCTGCGACCCGGAGCCTACACGGCCTGGTGGCTTTTTTACTTTGGCCAAGAGGAGAAAGAAGCCTGAGAAAAGCCACTACCCCTCCCCCGCCACCATCGTCCCCCCCCCTTCCTGCCTCGCCAATCGTCCCCGGCCCCCCTCCCCCCCACCCCACCCCCACCCGCGCGGTCCCCGCCGCTGCCAGCCCCACTCACTACCCCCGAACCCGGGCACTGGCTCCTGGCGCAGCGGCCTACTTACCGCGTGGTGGCGTTGGGATACGGAGTGCGCTGGAACAAGCTCTCCAGATGGTACACCTGCAGCTGGTTGAACACCATGCGGGGGCCCGCATACTGCCTCCGCTGCGCGGGACCCTGGACTGCGACTTCAGGCATCTGTCCCTCCTGCCTCGGCACCTGTGGCTCCAACTGACGTGGGCTGCGGCCGCAGCACACATCGCGGGTTTCGGGACCCGCGGGCCACAGATATCCAGCACCCAAGTCGCCGGCCCTCTCCTCGCCGATTTTGTGGTCTTCGCTGTCGCTGTTTCCTTCCACCTTGACTTGTATGCCTATCTCCGCCTGCTCAGGTGCGAACTCGGCCCCCACGTCTCCCGCCGCTCCGTCTCTGGTAGGCGACATCTCCTCTTGCTTGGGTTCTGCAAAATAAGAAATCCAGAGACAATTATTGGCCTCAGAGCCCGACTGTGGGGAGGAGGCGAGGGGAGGCGCCTGAGGGGTGGCCAGACAATTCCCCTCGCCCAGAGGCCGTTCATTTCTGGGACGTGGCCAGGACGCTCGTCTCAAGGGGCACAGACCACGCGGCTCTTTCGGGTCCTCTTCGTTTCTCGTGCTGGGGGAGCCCGTGACCTCGCGCTTGAAAGGCTCCATGGTATCCGCCTGTCGCCTTGGGTGGATTCTGCGTCGGGACCTGCTGGATCGCTGGGTCACGCACAAGTGGCTGCCGGCATTCGTGCTCCCACAGCGCGGTCCCGCAGTCGAGTTCTGTGAGGAGCAGCTGGCTGGGCGCTCTATATATACCACCCGCGACGGAGGTTGGGCTCGCCCGCCGAAGTACCAGGTGCGCATGCGGCTGGGCTTTGCTGGGCTAATGTCTCAATCGGGCGCGTGGGCAGGTACTACTGCAGAGAGGGCTCGGGTGGGGAGCGCCTGTCGGAAGACATCGGAAGGGACTATGGGTAACCAGAGCTGGCTGCTAGGGTTGTAACTTAGTTCACGCCCCCCAAACTGGCGGCGTGTCTCCCCCGCTCTGCGAGGAAGGGACTGTGCCCATTGTGTATGCCGATTTCCGTAGGGTGGGAGACAGACCTCCCCCTAGCTCTGGAGACCTGCCAGAAATGTTGGGACAGTCTCTCTTGGGCCGCCCCCCACCCCCGCAACCCCCGGATCCTGCAGCTAGTACTAAGCAGGGAATAGCCGTCAAACGAATGCGATCAGCTCTGAGGTGGCACACTCCGAGTTTTTTGAACGAGATGCTGACCTCATAGCCCGCCAAATCCCCGGTTCCCCGGGAACAGGAGCTTGCGCTTGGGGTTGCTGACCGTGCCTGGTGCTCAGATGCACCATGCAGATAAATCCAAACGTGCCCCTGTGAAAGTCCCGTGCCTCCAGAATTGTAGTGATGTAGCCACATCTCAGTACCGGGCTGCAAACCAGCACAGTGCGTCCAAGACTGCGTCAGGTGCACAAAGCTCCCGCTTGTTTGTTTTTTTCCCAATTTTTCTTGTTCACATATTTGTTTCTTTGTCTCATTATAACCACGTATCCTGAAAACACATGCCTGCACAGCGCCTATGCCTCTGGCTATAGATTCTCTATACAAGCATGCGTGTCCATTAATGGTTGGGACCTTTCGGACCTGGGTAATCTCCTGCCGCCATTTCTCCCTTACTTCCCTCAGCCTCTTGGTTTTTCTAGAAAGATCTTTCGGAGCCCTGCTGAGGAATAAATAAAGGTTTTATTCTTTTCTTTTTAAGCTTATTTATTTTGAGAGACAGCGAAAGCGGGGGAGTGACGAGGGCGGGACTGACAGAGGATCTCAAGCGGGCTCTGTGCCCAAGGCAGAGAGCCTGATGGGGGACTGGAACTCACGAACCCAGAGATCATGAAGTGAGCCAAACCCAGACGCTTACTGACTGAGCCACCAGGCACCCCTAAATAAATTTTGTTTCTTGTTGGTTGTTTTCTTTTCCTTTTTTTTTTTTTTCTTATAGCAGGGGTACATTTTTATTGGTTGCAGACTTTGGTTTATTGGTTGGAGGCTTTATTTGGTTTCTTCAGATGAGTACAATAAAGAGACAAGGGAGATGAGATTTGGGGTACAGCTAGGAATCCATGATAAAAGGTGACTGTAGAGTTTTACATAGGTTGCCAACACTCAAGAAATGTATATTTGAGATTTGTGCATCCTTCTGTATGTCACTTTTACATCCACAGACGGAAAGTGTAAGCAAATACTGATCTCCACTTAATGGTATGCACGCTTATTTCTTGTCAAATAGAAGGGAGCAGATCAGATCCAAGGCTCTGTGGTGTTTTCCCTTCCAGAACTGTTTTATTGATGTTCCAAGACTCGTTAATATCCTAAATATTGAAAGCAGTTTCCCACAATGGGCCTTAGGCTCGACAATGTGCTCGATTTATCCCTTGTTTACCCCACTGCCATTCTCATCAGCCGCATTTGAATTCAGACACTGCGTCGTTTCCATGGGCTCCTGACTGCACCGAGGGCCCCAGTCAGCTCACTCAGCGCGTCTGCGGGGTCGGGACCCCTGCCTCAGGCTCCCGGAGGATGCGTAGGAAAGTAACTATGATAGGGCTGTGGACCGATTCACCTTCAAGGAGGTGGTAAGGGATGCAAGGTGACTATGTCCTCCTGACTTTAACCACATGTTTCCTCCTGGGGTGGCCCTTGTTGAATGCAGCAGGCACCTCCCCCGCCTCAGCAGGATACCCCGTGCCCAGTTTTGGCTTGAGATTCATTATGGCGTGAGAGACCTACAAGGGCCTTCATCTGTGTTAGACTATTTGTGTTAGGCTGGCTGCCATGGTCTGTGACCGCTCAGGTGTCGTGTTCTCTCGTGTCCCCCGTTTCCGGAGAGCATCCCTGCTTACTCTGTTTCAGCCCCTCCTGTGACCCGAGACAAATATCGCCCTGCCCTGGCATCAGTTGTGGTAGTGTTCATTCAACACTTTTTCTTCAATACCTTCACACTTTGCAAACTTTGAGAACTGAATGGAGCCTCGGCCTAAGCACACACAGCCCCGGCTCCTAGTTCGGGGCGCCAGGTTCATGGCAGTGGGGGCTCTGGAGCCAGCGAGCCGGGGTCTGTATCCCGGCCTCCTCAGCCCCCGCTGGCTGGCTAACCTGTTGAGTTGCTTCTTCTCACGTCGCCCAGGTGTCCTCATCTGTATCATGAGGACAGCAGTAGCTGCTCCCTCACCAGGGTGCTTGCGGGAGTGATTGTGATGACAACGATGAAATATTTCCGGTGGCTGCACCGCGTAGTCTTGCATCTCTGATTTCAAGTTTGTGTTTCTTCATTCACAAGGGTCCGTGAGAGAAGAGGGTGCTGGTTATTCTCTGGCAGTTGACCATGAGGACAGAAGGTTTTCTTGTGACCATCAGGTCTCCATGTCACTTGGGGGTTTTGTTTTGTTAACTCTTTTTTTCAGTGATCTCTACACCCAACCGTGGGGCTCCAATCCATGACCCTGAGATCAAGAGTCACACGCTCCCCCAACTGAGCCGGCCGGGCCCCCCGCTACACGTCTTTGTGCACCCACCTAGGCGCGGGTCACTAAACCTCGTGGGCTGCCGTGTTTACAGGGCCCTATGCCACGTAGTGTGGGCAGTGTCTCCAGTCCAGCCTCAGCCGTTATGGCCTGGGTTCTCCCAGTCTGAGCAGAGGGATCAGCCCCCGTGAGAGAAAGAAACCAAAAATGATGGCGCCGCACCCCCACTGAATTGCTCTGTGGCCCAGGTGAATCCGTGACATCCCCGCACCTCCCGTGCCGCTTCTGTAGAATGGGGACCACCATGGTACCCTCTCTCCTGGGCTGTGAAATTTACACACAGTAATAGAGGCCAGGCCCAGCGGATGGGCTCAGAGGACCGCAGCTGATGCTGGGCATAAGTTGTCAGGGCTGCATGGGTTCAGGCTGTACTCGGACCCTCACTGTGATTGAAGGTGCCAGACATGGAGCCTGACCCCTGCTCCTGGGTGGACGTGCGAGCCTGTCGAGTAAACGGGGCTGTGCTTGCTCCTGCTGGTGACCTCCTGTGGGTGCTCGCTGTGCATCAGGGCCCGGCTGATGAGCGTTGCACTGTCCAGGGGGCCGAGTCTGGGGAGAGTGGTGGGAGGCCTCACTATTTCTTTCTTAACCAAGACAGTGGAGGCCTGGAGAGGTTTGGTGACTTTCCCAAGGTTACACAGCTTGGTGGAAGTGGGCCAGCATCCAAACTCTGAAGACTGTTCTAGCAGCCCATGGTGGAAGCAGAGTTGGCTTTTTGGGAGTAGTGGGGTTTCCTTTACACCTCAGAGTGAGCCAAAGGTTGGTAAATGCTAACAGGCAGTGCACGGAACTCCAGTTAAAGGTGGGAGTAGAAGGGGCGCTTGGGCGGACTCTAAGCGACGGACTCGATACAGGCTCAGGTCATGATCTCATGGTTGGGAGACCAAGCCCCGTATGGGGCTCCAGCTCAGCTTGGGTCCTGCTTGGGATTCTCTCTCTCCTGCTCTCTGCCCCTACCCCACTCATGCATGCATGCTCTCTAAATTCATAAACAAACATACAAACAAAGAAATACAGAGAGGGCATTATGAGCAACCCCAGGAAGGAGGAAGTATAGAGCTGATCTCAGGGAACTCGGACACAGCCAGGGTGGCTGTGGAGTGTGGCCTGGAAGGGGAGCTAGAGAGGAGTCTGCGGAGTACTCTGTATTCACCAGGGAAATAAAGTTGAGCTATTCCATCGGGTTTGAACTCAAGGAAGGTGTTGGTCTATGTGCATTTAGAATGATAGAAGCCTGTATGTTTGCAGCAAGCGAAACTCATGACAACAGGGTTTTAGGAGCGCACGCCTCTGGTTTCAGGGCACAGCCGTGTTCTTCTGCTTCCATGGTATATTCTCACTACACGACACGGGCGAGCCTTCCTGTCTCTGTGCCTCGGTTTCCCCATCTGGAAATAGGGCTACTCTTCCTATTCCTACCACTGTTTACTAAACTGATGATAGCTCACAGAATTCTTATGAAGTCAGAATGATGTATGGAAAAATAGTTTTATTCTTTCTCCTTCCTTCTCTCCTGCCCTCTCCTTCCCTCTCTCCTGCCCTCTCTTCCCACCCTCCTTCCCCTCCCCTACTTCCATTCCATCTTCCTTTTCTTCCTACCTCTCTTCCTTTCTCTTTCCTTCCTCCAGCTTCTCCTCCCTCCCTCCCTATGTCCATTCTTTCCTTTTATTCTCCTCTCCTCCGTTCATTCTTCTCTTCTTGCTGTGATAATTTAAAAGAAACTCAAGGGGCACCCAGCTGACTCAGTTGGTGAAGCATGCGACTTGATCTCAGGGTTGTGAGTTCTAGCTCCACATTGGGTGTAGAGATTACTTTAAAATTTTTTTATAAATCTTAAAAAAAAATAAGGTCTCCTGGGTGGCTCAGTCAGTTAGGAGTCTGACTTCGACTGTGGCTCTGGCCATGATCTCGCAGTTCATGAGTTCGAGCCCCGTGACGGGCTCATTGCTGACAGCCCAGAACCTGGAGCCTGCTTTGGATTCTGTGTCTCCCTCTCTCTCTGCCCCTCCCTGCTCATGCCCTGTTTCAAAAATAAATAAACATTTTAAAAAAGGGGCGCCTGAGTGGCTCAGTCA